CTCGCCAGCGGCAGGGAGGCAGACAGGGGCCACGGTGTTATCTGAAGGCCACGTGATCTTGGAAGAAAGCTTCAGGAGAGCGATATCGTTTTCCAAGGTATTCCTGTTGTACCGAGGGTGTATCACGATCTGAAAGAATGGGGTTCAGTGGGCTCTCTTTTGGAGGTCTGTCTGTCTGTCTATCTATCTGTCTTTCTGTCGATCTGTCTGCCTGTCTGTCTGTTTGTCTATCTATCTGTCTCTCAGTCTTTCTGTCGATCTGTCTGCCTATCTGTCTGTCTGTCTATCTATCTGTCTTTCTGTCGATCTGTCTGTCTATCTATCTATCTATCTGCCTTTCTGTCGATCTGTCTGCCTATCTATCTGTCTGTCTGTCTATCTGTCTTTAAGTCGATCTGTCTGCCTATCTGTCTGTCTGTCTATCTATATGTCTATCTGTCGATCTCTCTGCCTATCTATCTGTCTTTAAGTCGATCTGCCTGTGTCTATCTGTTTATCTCTAACAACCTGTCTTTAAGTCGATCTGTCTGCCTATCTGTCTGTCTGTCTATCTATCTGTCTATCTGTCGATCTGTCTGTCTATCTATCTATCTGTCTTTCTGTCGATCTGTCTGCCTATCTATCTGTCTGTCTATCTGTCTTTAAGTCGATCTGTCTGCCTATCTGTCTGTCTGTCTATCTATCTGTCTTTCTGTCGATCTGTCTGCCTATCTATCTGTCTGTCTACTTATCTATCTGTCTTTCTGTCGATCTGCCTGCCTATCTATCTGTCTTTCTGTTGATCTGCCTGTGTCTATCTGTTTATCTCTAACTACCTGTCTATCTATCTGTCTCCTTATCTGTCTATCTGTCTATTTATCTATCTGTTTATCATTCCGTCTATCTATCTGTGTCTGTCTATCTGTCTATTTATCTATCTGTTTATCATTCCGTCTAACTATCTGTGTCTATCTATCTGTATATCTACCTGTCCATATATTTGTTTATTTGCCTATCTGTCTGTCTATCTTGCTATCTGTCTGGCTGTCTATCTGTTTGTGCTGTCTACTTATATACATATTTATCTGCCTGTCTAGCTCTTTATCTTTTTATATGTTGTTATTTATCTGTTTGTCTGTTAATATATCTGTCTTTCTATCTAATTGTCTATCTGTGGATGAATCTGTCAATCTATCTGTCTATATATCTATCTGTCTGTCTAACTATCTATCTGTTTATTTGTCTATCTATATATATATCTGTCTATCTGTCTGTCTGTTTATCTATCTGCTTATTTGTCTATCTATCTATCTACCTATCTATCTATCTATCTATCTATCTATCTATCTATCTATCTATCTATCTATCTATCTATCTATCTATCTATCTATCTACCTATTATTACTATTATTATAATTATCATCGTTATTATTATAATCATTATTATAATCATTATTATTATACTATTATTATATCTTTTTACATCTGGTTTAATTCATCATTTATTTTAGGCCACGAACTACGCACCTGGGACACCCTTATAGCGTAGGCATTTGCTTCAGAGGCGATGGAATAGTCGTGGTCGCCAAGGAAGACAGCGTCGTTATTATCCATGCTGCGGTTGGTGGAGATTGGGGGAGTTAGGGATTAGACAATAATAAACGAATAAATAAAAGATAAAGAAAATAATGATAGATAATCATAAAGGATAAATAATAAATAAATGATAATAAATAACAAATATGTAATAAATAACAAATACACAATAAATAATAATAAATGATAAATAACTATTAATGAATAAATAAACATAAATTGAAATATAATAAAAAAAAATAATGAATGAATTAGTAAATAAAAAGTGGTGGGGGTGAAGGCGATAGAGAGAATGTGATTGGTAGATATTTGTATGCTGGAGAGAGTTATGTTGTGTAAATTGGTAAATAAACACACACACACACACACACACACATGTATATATATATATATATATATATATATATATATATATATATATATATATATATATACACACACACACACACGCGTGTATGTGTGTGCATATATGTGTATGTGTGTGCATGTTTGTGTGCATGAGTGTGTGTGTGTGTATGTGTGTGTATGTGTGTGTGTGTGTGTGTGTGTGTGTGTGTGTGTGTGTGTGTGTGTGTGTGTGTGTGCGTGCATGAGTGTGTGTGTGTATTTGCATGAGTGTGTGTGTGTGTGTATGTGTGTGCGTGTGTGTGCGTGCATGAGTGTGTGTGTGTATTTGCATGAGTGTGTGTGTGCATGTGTGTGCGTACATGAGTGTGTGCATGTGTGTGCGTGCATGTGTGTGCGTGCACGAGTGTGTGTGTGTGTGAGTGAGTGAGTGTAAGTACAACACACACCCTCCTATATTCGAGAGTGTCCTCAAACCAAGCGCCCGAAAAAAAAAAAAAAAAAAAAAAACGTCCATTGAACATTTCATTTAAACTTTCATCCATAGCATAGGCACGTTAATGCCCTTCAGTCTTGAAATAGAGTGCATGAACGTGAATACAACGCTGCTTATGCTATAGATGAAAGTTTAAACCACCAAGGCATGAAATAAACGCCTTTTCGGAAAACTGTTCTGGGAACCGCCCTTTTCTCATTAACTATTTCTTTGTCCTTTCTCAAACCTCTGTTTACTTGTTTGTTTTATTTTCTCTCGTTTTTCTGCCCATAATTCGTTCTCCCTTCTTTATTTTTTACTCTGTTTCATTTCATTTTCTCTCCTTCTTCTCCTTCTACTTTATTCATCTACTATTCATTTAATTTTAATTTCTCTCTTCTCGTCCCATCTTATTTCTTTATTTCTTTATTATCATTTTTTAACCCCTCCTGTCTGTTGCATTTTATTTTCGCCCTTTTCTCCCCATTTTCATCAACCTCTCCTTCCTCTTTTATTTAATTTTCTCACTTTGCCTCCGTTTTAGCGAAACCTACTTTCTACTCACATCATCGCTCAATGCACACAGTGTTTTATTTATTATCCTTTTTTCTCCTTTCTACCCATCTTTAACATATCCTCTTTGTTTCATTTAATTTTCTTTCTTTTCTCCCTAGTTCTACTTCTCCTTTCTGCTTTATTTTATTTTCTCTCTTTGCTTCCCATCTACTTTGAACTCTAGTCTGTTTCATTTCTTTTTCTCTCTCTTCTTCTCATCTTCTTTAACCTCTCCTTCTGTTTCATTTCATTTTCTCCCTTTGCCTACTCATTTCATTCGCTCTCTTCTTTCTCCCTATTTTCCCTAACCTCTACGTTCTGTTTAATTTCATTTTCTTTTTCTCTCTTCTTTAACATCTATTTTCTGCATTTCTTGTTTCAATTTCATTTTCTCTTTCTCCCTCCTTTAACCTCTATTTCCTCTATTTCTTATTTCAATTTAATTTTCTCTTTCTCCCTCCTTTAACCTCTATTTCCTTTATTTCTTGTTTTGATTCCATTTTCTCTTTCTCCCTCCTTTAACCTCTATTTCCTCTATTTCTTATTTCAATTTCATTTTCTCTTTCTCCCTCCTTTAACCTCTATTTCCTCTATTTCTTATTTCAATTTAATTTTCTCTTTCTCCCTCCTTTAACCTCTATTTCCTTTATTTCTTGTTTTGATTCCATTTTCTCTTTCTCCCTTCTTTAACCTCTATTTCCTATTTAAATTCCCATTCCCTCTTTCTCCCTTCTTTAACATCCATTCCCTGTATTTCCTGCTTCAATTTCTCTTTCCCTCTTCCTCCCCTCTTTATCCTCCATTTTCTCTATTCCAATACTCCTTCCCTCTTTCCTCCCTTCCTTACCTTCCATTTCCTTCATTCCCTCTATTTCCTATTTCAATTCTCCTTCCCTCTTTCTCCCTTCTTTAATCTCCATTTCCTCTATTTATTCTATTTCCTGCTTCGATTTGCATTCCATCTCTCTCCCTTTCTCCATTCCCTCCATTCCAATCCTCCTCCCCTCTTTCCTCCTTTCTTTAATCTCCATTCCCTCCATTCCAATCCTCCTTCCCTCTTTCCTCCCTTCTTTACCCTCCATTTCCTCCATTCCCTCTATTTCCTATTCCAATCCCTCCTTCCCTCTTTCCTCCCTTCTTTACCCTCCATTTCCTCCACTTCAATCCCTCCTTCCCTCTTTCCTCCCTTCTTTACCCTCCACTTCAATCCCTCCTTCCCTTTTTCCTCCTTTCTTTACCCTCCATTTCCTCCATTCCCTCTATTTCCTATTCCAATCCCTCCTTCCCTCTTTCCTCCCTTCTTTACCCTCCATTCCCTCCACTACAATCCCTCCTTCCCTCCCCGCCTCCGCCCGTGCGAAACCCTCCGCCTACTCACATCACCGCACAGTGCGCCGCCGTCAGGACCCACTCGTCGGCGATCACGGCTCCTCCGCAGATAAAGTTCCCGTTGCTGATGAGGCCGGCCATCCAAGGGTACTCGTTTACTTCGGTCTCGGTTCCTCCGACGATGCGTGTCCTACGGTTCACTCGGCCGCACGCTGTCGGGGGGTGAGGGGGAGGGTGAAGGGTGAGGGAGATCGTCAGGTAGGTGGGGTGGGGGGTGGGAAGGGAAGGTGCTCGGGGATCGGATCATCAGCTTGTGTGTGTGTGTGTGTGAGGTGTGTATGTGTTGATCAGGATACAGTTTCTTGTTTTGTTTTGTTTCTCTGTGTTTTTGCTGTACATGCATATATTGATACATGCATGCGCACATACGCACACGCTCACAAACATTCACATATATCTATCTCTCTGTCTATCTATCCATCTACCTATCTATATATATATTCAGACATCTGCAAACGCATTTTTTTCAGGTTTATGCGGTATGTGTATTTTTTTACTTTTTCTATTTAAAAAGTTTATCTATCTATCTATCTATCTATCTATCTACCTATCTATCTATTTATCTATCTATACTTACAACACTCGCCCGGTGCAGCGGTCGGAGGTGGCGCAGGAGTCTGAGGAACCGTAACCGCTGGGAAAAAAGAAACAAACAAAAAAA